CACTAACGATCGTACATGTGGTGTTGTTCTGTGATTGATAGTTGTTATTTGGAGCCAGTCGATGTGTCTCGATGATTTATTTAACATATTTCGTCAATAAATCATCGTTTTAAACTGGCCGTCCGGTTTTCAGAAGGTAATTTTATTGTTCCGGACTTAAGAATTTGGCCGGAATTCGGAATTGGGAGATCCGGTTTTCAGAAAGTATTTTTATACACTAAGAATAGGAATGATTTTGGGACTTTAAAAAACGACCGGTTTTGCGTGAAATCCGGTATTCTGGGTGGTCGGTATTGGGAGAGTTGACTGTACCATATACTACTCATATTAAAGCATTAATGTGTTTACAAATATCAACTATATCATCAATGTGTTTTCCATGGCAGGAATGTGGGTCAGCGGATGCAACTGCAAAGTGTTTCACTATAACTTGCTACATAGGACCTCTCAAGGGAGATAGCGAAACTAAGATTATTCTGAACTCAAGATTATGGAATAGTACATTTATAGAGGTAAATAGGGGGAGGGGTGGATGGAAAAGGGACTGGAAATGATCTAGAAAGAAGGGAGAGAATAAAAAAATGTAATACAATATAACTTTCTTCATGGGGCAAGTGAAATATAAGTGTCTGAATTAGAAAGCGTGAAAAATAACATATTTAAGGTTTACTTATTTTCATGAGCATTTTTTTTATTTTCACAATTTTTGGTTTTTAATCTATTTATCAATCTTTCCTTTATCATTAAACAATTTAATTTTTTACTGGTAATATCAAATTTAATTGTAATTTTTGTTATATAAGACTACATAGAAATTATTAATTATTTGTTTTTTTATTATAGTATTATTGTGGTTACATTACATTGATGTTCTTGTTATATAGATATAATTATTGTTATACTGTAGTTATTGTTGCTGATATATTTATTGTTATACTCACTTATAATCGACATTGTCCCTTGTGGAACATATGGCTGCTAATTATTGTTTGGTTAATGTTATTATGTATTTTATATACTATTGTTGAAATTGTTGCTCAACAAATGAAGAAAATATTAAATATTTTGCTCTTATTATTCAAGGATTACAAAAACGTTGAGACTGTCTTTATACAATACAGCGGGGGTGTTTCCATTAGCAATGGAACATACATTACACAGCGCAGTGAAACCGACGATGGATACACAGTAAGTTGTCTACATCGGAATTTTTCCACTTTTAAAATTGATTGTATTTAGATAAAGAGACCAAGAGCCACCAATGTGTCTAAGAAAACAACTATGCAACCAATGTATTATCCCAGTGTTTACATATGGTTGTGAAACCTAGTCTCATTCTCAGAGAGTTGAAATTTATTGTGTATCAAGGTAGATTGTATGGAAAGAAAAATTATTGAGGCACATAGGAAGATAAGTTATCCTATATAGAATTAAAATTACAAGTAGGTATAAAGTGTGTGATCAAAGAAATATGAAAACTAAAATGGAAATGGGCAGGTCATGTCATGCAAGGACAAGACAAGAGGTGGACACTAAGGGCTACTGTCTGGACAACACACAACTCTGAAGACCAAGAGGTAGAGACGATCTACACAATAATGTTGGGATCAATTGGATGGAGAAATGATGAGGATGCCTACATCCAGCAGTGGAACAAAACAGGCTAACAAGAACAAGAAGATAGAATATTCTAAAATTTTGTCTGCTTTTGTCCAAATAGTCAAAAGACATTTGAAATATTATATATCTGCCTGATTTTTTTGTTTTTTTTTCACATCATACATCCATGTTTCTAATTCTTCTTGACAGTTAAAAATGGAGGTTAAGCGAGACTTTGATGAAGTGATACGCAGCAAATCTATAGCATGGTGGATAATTCTTTGTGCTGTACTAGGGGGTGTACTGCTCCTTATTATAATTATATTACTACTATGGAAGGTAAGCGCATATGCATTTTAATTGTTTTCATAGAGGTAAAGCAATATTGGCTGTTTTGCTAGTATATTTGAATGATAAAATTTAATATTTGGAAATTAGTATGACAAAAAATATTCATCAATTATCAGATATATAACAATCAATGTTATCATTTTGACTTCCACATAGTTTTCGTTTCCTTGAGCAGTCATTAATTCGTTTTGTGCCTTGTGTGCAAAAAGTCAGAATATTTCGTTGCTTGGCCCAACCATACACAAATGTTAAGCCTAACTAACTTGTTCTATGGCTCGTTGGTGAACACGATTAAGACCTATTATTTGAGGGTTGGGCTAGATGAGATAACAAAGGCAATGTGTATATTATTACGATTGTTCATGCATCTTCTCTTTTTCAAAAAAAATATTCTATTATACCTGCTTAATTTTTCATTCATTTCATCCATAAAATGATATGTTCATTTTGTTTGTCTATGTATATATTTTTTCATACTTTTTATGTACATTGATTGATCATTATAATTATTTCAGTATTTGTTTGATTTGTTTAAATGTCTATTTTCCCCAATTGATGCACATCAACATAAAGGGTTTCACAATATAACAATATAAAAGTATTAAATAATAAGATTTACAAACACGTTTGTGAATTTATGGTGAAGCATTTTTTAAGATAAAATAGATGTATATTCGAATTGCTCTATGAATTTATCCCTTTGTTTATTTAAGTTATTAGCTTCCAATTCAAGTTTTTCTACATTATTTAAGAGATGCTTAATAATGCCATTTTTGGACCTTTCAATTTATGGGTTTTTGTAATAAAAAGTCTGTAAAACTCAACAAATACTGAACTGTTTTATCTGTTGCATTGGAAGTTAATATCCTATTTTATACTTTTATTGACTATTTTGGAGTCTCCAAATTTTAATAAAGATAGCATATCTTTAAAAATTAGAATAAAATACTGTTGATTTATTAATTTTGAAGCCTTTCCATCTTTATTCATTTATTTATAAATCATTGTGTTCGTTTAATGTGTTTTATTCTTCTTTCTTTCAATTCTGCGCACAGTTTGGATTTTTCCGTCGTGATGCCTCTTTAGTGGGTTTCATTTTTATCATACCTATTAATATATTTGTGATATGCAAATATGCAATTTGGTTATTAACACATGCATATTGTATGATGTTGCTTGGATTAATTTGAATATTAAAATGTGCAAGTTGATTTTAACACTGCATCTTGGCACATTGCATTGTTCCTTGTGATGTATATTGCTTTGAATTTGGGATATTTTTTTTCATCTGTTTAAATGTAAATTGTATCTATGGGTATTGCAATTATTCAAGATTCGTTTCAACAATTTATTTTTATTTAAAATGTTTTTTAAAATGTTATTTGGCATGGAAATTTATTAGTAGTAACACCACCACTAATACTGTACAACCCCACATCCACCATCATTGTCAGCATCATCATTATCATCACCAGCAATGCCAATACAGTACCATGATTACCATCACCAACGTCATTATCCCCACAATCATCAATACC